ACATTATGGGACCCACTACAACTGGCTCAATTGCGTAACTAAGCAGGACAATTTAACCGGTCATGATCAGGTTGGACACATAAAGGGCAACGGGCTGTGGAGCGACAGTGTTTGGCAGGATGGCCAAAACGCCAACATTTCTGATACTGACGGGGAAGGAGTCGATATGATCGGACGCGGTAGGACACTCCACCAATATAAACTTCATGGAGGAGGTTATCTCTATAGAATCGATCCCACTGGCTGGACCAAAAAGGTTACAATAAAAAGATTTGCAGAAGTGAAAGCAGTAGAAGGCCGAGGGTGGGAGGAAGATGGGGTGGTATGGAGAGAGGTAATACTGTGGGGAGGAAGACATTAACGATGAAGAGTGGTAATAAGGGGGGGAGGGTTAGACAATGAAGACTATTCCGTAGGAGATGGAGTGGAGGATGATGGGAGACTGGAATATATTCTGAAGGTTGAGAAATGACCTGGGTGGATGATTCGGAATGGATAGTTGACAGCAATCATCGAGGAAGGGTATTAGTATCAGTAGTCGGTGCCGTGGTCAAAGCATAGGCAGGGGTTGGAAAACCAGAGAAATCAAATTTAGATAAGCTAGTTGATGAAGGCCCCTAATGAGGATAAAAAATCTTTATTAACCATAGTCAGCATGAAATAGCCCCCACACGAAAAACGAGCAAGGAATTAGGGGGGTTAAGTTGTTGAAAGTCTATTTCCTTTTTTTTTTTTTTTTTTTTTTTTTTTTTACTTCTTTCGTTTCTTTTTTATTTCAAGGTTTATTAGTCAATGTTTTTTGTTATTTTATAATCACATAGTGTACAGCCAGCCGTAGCCCATGTTAATTATAACAAAGGAGAGGGAGAGGGAGAGGGAGAGAGAAAGAGAAAGAGAAAGAGAGAGAGAGAGAGAGAGAGAGAGAGAGAGATAGAATGAGAGAATGAGAGAATGAGAGAGAGAGAGAGAGAGAGAGAGAGAGAGAGAGAGAGAGAGAGAGAGAGAGAGAGAGAGAGAGAGAGAGAGAGAGAGAGAGAGAGAGAGAGAGAGAAAGAGAGAGAGAGAGAGAGAGAGGGAGAGAGAGAGAATAAGAGAGAGAGAGAGAGAGAGAGAGAGAGAGAGAGAGAGAAAGAGAGAGAGAGAGAGAGAGAGAGAGAGAGAGAGAGAGAGAGAGAGAGAGAGAGAGAGAGAGAGAGAGAGAGAGAGAGAGAGAGAATGGGAGAGAGAGAGAATGGGAGAGAGAGAGAATGAGAGAGAGAGAGAGAATGAGAGAGAGAGAGAGAGAGAGAGAGAGAGAGAGAGAGAGAGAGAGAGAGAGAGAGAGAGAGAGAGAGAGAGAGAGAGAGAGAGAGAGAGAGAGAGAGAATGAGAGAGAGAGAGAGAATGAGAGAGAGAGAGAGAATGAGAGAGAGAGAGAGAGAATGAGAGAGAGAGAGAGAATGAGAGAGAGAAGAGAGAGAGAGAGAGAGAGAGAGAGAGAGAGAGAGAGAGAGAGAGAGAGAGAGAGAGAGAGAGAGAGAGAGAGAGAGAGAGAGAGAGAGAGAGAGAATGAGAATGAGAGAGAGAGAGAGAGAGAGAGAGAGAGAGAGAGAGAGAGAGAGAGTGAGTGAGTGAGTGAGTGTGTGTGTGTGTGTGTGTGTGTGTGTGTGTGTGTGTGTGTGTGTGTGTGTGTGTGTGTGTGTGTGTGTGTGTGTGTGTGTGTGTGTGTGTTTGCATGTCTAAATGTGTGTTCAAGTTGTAACTAGATCTGAACTGGTTACTATAGAATGGATTTCATCCATTATATGTGTGACTGCAATTTCTCTATTTCAATGAAATATCATTTGGGTCTTGCTTAAGGTTTAGTACAGGTTTTCCTTAGTAAAGGTTGTTAACCCAATGCCGCCAGGGAAAATTCATAAAAAATGGGGAAAATGCTTTGCTCATTTTTTCTATTTTTTGTGAAATGTCTCTGCACATAGATGGCTCTGCTAGTGCTTATCCACAATGGAGTTAATTAGTAGACCTTGTGACTTTGCATGATTTGAATTGGTGGGAAAAATATATCTTTTACTAGTACTATGAATATCAATGGTGTTATCTTTATTATAAACATTATAATTATTATAATGTTATAAACATTAGTAACAGCAATATAAGATAATGTAAAATATCTTGTAAATCAAAGAAAAGGGTAAACGGGTGAGACAGCCAATACTTGTAATTGGCTCATTGGTAACTTAGTAGAAGTGTAGCCATCTATGTGTAAAAACAAACAAACAAGTATATACATATGTACACATCATGCCCGCCGACATTGGGTTAAAGACTTGCAGATGAAAGAAAACATTTTTGAAGATATTTGTAGTGTGATTTGTTTTCATGAATGAATAAAACCAACTATATATAATGATTTACTTAACTTTATGTAGCATTTTACTGCTTTCAAACTTCACAATTAAGTTATAATGAGAACAATATGTCCTACAGACTGTAAAGTCTATTCGTCTATGTAGTATGAACAGCAGCACAAACTTCCTGAATGTGAAACAATAACTTTCCACAATAATTACAATCATTGTACTGACTGACTATCTTTTCAATTTTATAAATGATCAATGAAATTATGGGTCAAACAAGTGATATTTATTATAAAGAGCAAATAAAGGAAAGATGTATAATAGTCAATGTATAATAAACATTGTGTCCACCAATCCAAGTATTCTGTTACTTTCCCTGTTAGACATGTAGCATCTAAACACAATATATTAACATAGTTACAGTATATTTCTGTCATATAACAGCATGCATTTTTTCAAAAAACACTTCACACATATTACTTCCCTGCATATTTGTTTAACCAGTTCTATTATAAATATAGGAAATATTCACTGAAAAGAAACATTGTCACAGCAATCAAAGATTTTTTTTTGTTGTTTTTTGTACACACACAACAAAACAAAAGGTTTTACCCATGACCTTGAAGGGAGAAAAACAAATATTGTGTCAGCCTTTAGTTGAACCATATCAACCATTAATAAAATAGCATTTGGTAAAGAGAAATGGTTCCCTCAAAAGGTCCAAGATACACGTTCAAATGACTCACAGAAGCATATGGAATGACATCAGTGCCACTAATAGCGTGCAGATTCCCATCCTGCTTGTGCATGTACCCCTTCTTTGTTCTTCTGGTATAAAAGCCATCTTATTCATTAAACACACACACATACCATTGCTCTGTGGAATGTTCACTTTAAACTTCAATTCTGTATAAAGATTATTAAAAAAAGAAAAAAATAGAGAAGAAAAAAAAACCATCATAAAATGTTATTATATGAACACAAGAACGAAAGCACTTCCATCAAAACCAATGAAGTAACACACAATCAACCCATCATAACACATTTAAGTACTTGTGTGACCTGTGATTTATGTGCATCTGACTCTTACTGCATTGCTGGATACTCCTTCCTCTGGTGATCTTGCTTCTTATATGACATTCTACTGAAATACTGAAGTCCCGAAAAAAGGAAACAAGCCGACATACACCCATTTTACGAGTTTGTCACAATGGGATTAACTATATCATCTATCAGTTAGGTACACTTCATTATTCTCAGAGTTACTAAACAGGACTTAAATTACCCATTTTAGGACCTAAGATAAATTGTTAAATAAAGAAATACAAAAAATAAATAAATAATTAAAAAGGCAAAAACAAACATATATTGCTGGTATGGATGGCATAATTCTGTTGCCACTGGATCACTTCATGTAATTCTTTCTTTACACTAACAACACCAGAAAGTATAGCAAGAATACAATAACATGTTTTTTTTTTCTCTTTTAAATAAAGTAAATAAATTAGAATTTATAACAAAGCATTTACTTCCACAATGGAAACTGCCAGATCAGAGTCAAGCTATTATCTCGTGAAAATCAAAGATAATCATGAAGTTTCTGATCCTATGGCTTAGGTAGGTACTCAGGATATGTATGAAAAGTTCTACATCCATAGTATAATGACAAAACTGTCTACTGTAATTATCCTATTTTTTTTTTTCTTTCTTTCTTCCTTAACCATCATTATGATTTGAACGAGAAGAGTATTATGTTAAACCTGGGTCCTTCAGTACAGTACAATCAGCTGTATTTGTTTCTCTCACTGTCTCTTTATGCTCTGTAAAAATTCAGGGATTCTCCCCTCTGATAACGATATGAAACAAAAATATGAAGTAAAAAATTAATAATCGATCCCAGTTCCCAATTCCTCTTTTATTAATGCATGCCATAGCCTGTAAAACATAAGCTCTCTTTAAATATCAGCTAACCCTTCTCACCTGTGTATATTAGTAAACAGTGTTGGTGAAAATGATGTAAAAAAGAAAGAAAAAATAATTTCTCAATACAAAAAATATAATAATAATAATAATAATAATAATAATAATAATAATAATAATAATAATAATAATAATAATAACAATAATAATAATAGCAATGATGATAATAGTAATACTCTTGCTAATAATAATCATCATGATCATCACAATCATCATGATCATCATTAACATAATAAAAATAAATACAATAATGATAAAAAAATACTAATAAACCATTATAATAATAATAATAGTAATAACAGTAATAATATCAATATTACTAATAATAATTGCATGTCCTTTGATCATACTCATATTTACCCTGAAATGGCAAGGAAGCATATACCCTAAATCATTCAGAAGCAATTTCATGACAAATTCAGGAAACTAAAACAAGACAAAAAAATATCACTACCCCCCCCCCCCAAGACACTCGTACGAAAAAAAAAAAAACATAAAAAAACTCAGTCAAGCAGCGACCCGTGGCTACTACTCGAGCTCTTGGAGGATTTGGAGGACTTCTTTTTCGACTTGCTCCCGTTGCGCTTTGCCAGTGACGAGGTGGAGTTGTTGGTGGAGGTGGAGTCGGCGGGGGAGGTGGTATTGGAGTGGTCATTGTCCCACGAGGAGGCTAGCTGCCCATCGTCCAATCCGTCTATGTCCACATGGATGTCCTCCGCTGTATCCCCGAGGCTCCTGCTGGTGGAGTCTGCCGCCCGTGTAGTGGTGGTGGTCTCTGATCCCGAGCCGTTGAAGACCTGGAATATGTATGTATCCAATGTGTGTAGTTTACAAGAAATTAAGCACTGTAAGAGCCTTGAAATGCAAGATTTCTTTCTAAAAAATAAATAAATAAAAGTATCACTGTATATATCTGACAGACAAATCATGAGTACTTAATAAACACTAATATAATACAATACTTTGATAAGTGTCATCCACTGTGTGGTTCCTACAACACTGTCTATAATATAATATAGCATTTCATACTTCATGCTTCTTTGATCTTTATTGTCTTTTTACCATCTATACATATAAATACATGATCTATTGCTTTTCATGATTTTGTTTCCATTTTCTGGTAACTTTGTATGATTTGATATGACCAACAAAATGTGAAATACACATTTTCTGGAGTATAAAAATAAGCCAGCAAGACTATTGTCAAATGAGGGTTTAACTTTCACTTCTTTTCTTTTTGAGTCAAGGAATGTTGTAATTCATTCCCAAATAAATCTGTTTGCCAAGCATTTTTCTCTTTCATAAGTAGTTAAAAAAATAGAGTGCAACTTATATGCTATGAACAATTTACTCATCATTTTTCTATTCATTCACTCAACATCTGCTTATAATTTAATATACAGGATACACTGATAACTTACTTACCTGACCTACCATGAGAGAAAAAAAAACCCTTCTACAACTTATCAACTCTCACAAACAAATACAAATCAGCTGATAACAACAGAAAACTCTCTAACACTGCTCCTGGAGTTCCCCCCTTCCCCTTATGCTACCTCAAGCTCCCCCTTTCCTGACCCTAGAATGCCCCCCCCCCCCCTAACCCCACACATCCTCACTTCCCTTCCCTTTTCCCCACATCACTTCCTTTACCTGATCCCTAACAGCTCTTCTTTGTTCGCTAGTGTGCTGGGGGCAACGTATGGAGCGCGTGCACATCTTGCGTGTGTGCTCCGAGACTACCCCGCAGATCTGCTTGAGCATTGCACGCTTCTCCTCTGTCGTCCCTGTAGCCAGTGTTGTCTCCACGTTGCTGCTGGAGGAAACGCTGTCACCTTTAACCTGTGGAGGTGGTTGGAAGAAAGAGGAAATATTATAATGGTGTGATTGAGTTCTGCTCTTTATATTCTCTACATCATCATTATCATCAAAAGAAGGAAAATTATGCTGTGTTTCTGTATGTACATATAGTATACATGTATATATGGTAAGTATACTCTCATAAAGTATGTATATATCTTTTTTCTTTTTTTTTTATCATGGAAATGATGCATTAAACTGAGTGATGATGATAATTATTTACTAACTAACAGGTTCTTGATAGCTCTGTGAAATAAAACAATGTAACTTGGCCATGTTGCATTTCTTTAATGCATTTTTATACATCTAAGAGGCTCATTTCCCAGTGATATCTGACTGCTTTCATCACTAAAGAGTATCTAGCAATTCACTCTGCAGTCATTTGTTTTTGTCATATTTTCAAGAATAGCGAGGCCATACATGGATCAATCCAGTGGTTTAGATTGTGCAAAATTTGTAAAAAGACCATGACACAAAAGAATTCTGGCAATATCAATGACTTAGATTAACCACACAAATAAAACAAATGACTAGTTTGCATAATTGTATGTAGGAGTAAGAATAATTTTCTTACTACTACCTGAATGTCCCCCAAACTTTTTTTTCTGATTACAGGTACAGGACAATATCTTTCTATCAGTCAATTTATATATATATTACAATACACCATAAAACATATTATACACAAACATTTCAACTGCTATAAGCCCTTCCACCCACTAAAACCTGATCCAATTTCTATTTCATTGCCTTTCTTTCAATTCTAGGAACTTACCTTTGCATTTTTAGATCTTCTGGGAGAGTTCTTGTCCCGTCTTTTACGCTTCCGATCGATCATCCAGTCATCATCGTCGTCATCATCACTTCCGCCGTGATGGCTATTTGAGTTCTCTTTGGTGGAGTTCTGGATACGACGGCTTGCAATGCGCGACGAGTTACGTCCCATACCCATACATTTTTCCAAGTGTGGTGCAAACCTGGTGATGAGATGCTTTTGAGAGGATGTGTCATTTGCTTCCATTCATCAGATGTTTATAGGGGGTCCAAGCAATACTGTATACTGATAAAAAATCCTATACAAAACAACAGAAAAAATATCTAACAATCTTTACCCCTTCGGTCCAAGCAATCTTAACAAATAAAGTTTCTCCTTACAACCCAAGTTGCCTCAAGAGAAAATTAGCTTTTAAAAATTGGTGGTCTTTTTCCTGACTGAAGGTAAATTTGTATATTTGGTATTGCTCTGTACCTTTTTTTTTTCTCTCTCTATCCTTTCTATTTCAAGGCCCCTGGTATTCTGTGTATCTGGGAGATTTTTGCCATCCAATCCTTCCTTTATACTTTCTTCAAGCTATCAGAGACTGCTTTACCTATTGTGCCATCCCCTTTTGATATTTATCATGCCTTCCAAAGCCATTTTCCCAATGCTGATATTGGTTCATGCAACTCTCACTTGAACCAGTCTACCTGGAAACACATCCAGAACCTAGCCTGTGCATGGTGGGACAAGCAAGATACTATTTTCACTCTCCTGGTCAGATTTCTTGTATTAGCCTCTTTGCAGTCAAATGACTCCACCATTATATGTGGCTATTACTGACAAGATAAAGTTCATGATATGTTTTGAAGAGACACTGTGTTAACCCATTGCCTCCAGGAGAATATGGGGTTCATTTGGCCTCCGCTCTTGGTAGCATGCCTCTTGGCTCATTTTCAGATCCAACTGGTGCGTATCACTCACCACACCACAACAACAAACTGATGTGATTTCTAATTATATCACTTGTATGCACAAAACATGATTTTATATTTTTGCATATTCAGAAATGCATATGCTAGATCAAACGATATAAAAGGCTGCTGAAACTACAGCTTCAGTACTTCCTTTTTGTGTGTCAAACTTCATGACAGTTACTGGCAGAGCACAAAAAGATAATGCGAGTAGTTAATACAAATAGACTGATCTCATATAGAAGAGTGAAAGTTAATTACAGGTTCACATCAGCAGCAAGAGAGTACCATGTCTTGGTGTGTGACATCTTCTGGGCATAGCAGGCAAATGATTTATGTGCTAAAATTCATGTTTTATATAAAACAATAGTCAAGTATAAAGCAATAACTAAGCATTACAAATACAGTTCCTCCCCGGGCCTAAGCGTTCTTTATAAAGAACAGCATAAAATGTTATGCACACATCATCATAACATGAAGTGAATTACCTATTTCCCGGAGCTGCGCCAAAGTCAACCGTGATGTGAATAACGTGTCACCTGAGATCTGTCTCCTCGTATCAAATTAGCCATGACACTCAGTTAATACTGGCATGGAAATACAACGGAAATTCCAGTAACAACAAATGAAGAATAGCCTACCAAAAACATGCAATGCTCTGGAAGGACAGCATAATGGACAGCTGCAAGGTATCAAAAGGAGCAACACAAGTTGATACAGCATTGCATCATGCATTTGTCAGTAAACATCACAAAACAGATATACCAGAGTATGATAAAGAGATACTGAGTACTAATTCCTAAGTTTGATAATGACATTTGGAATATCTGTAACTTGTAGCAAATATATTGGTGATGCTAAATGAAAAATGTAGCTAAAGTAGTTGGAAAAAATATTTTAATTGGAAAATTACATATATGGCTAAAAAAAGAATTGGTGTATTCTTTCTTGGTCATTGAAGAATTGCAAGAAATCACATTCTGATTCTGAAATAAGTGGTTCATTACTTCATTTAATTATATCTAAGAATGAACCATTGATAAATATCACTTGCCAAGTCAACACCATAGCTCAGAACAAATACTTTCACAAAGACTGAACAAAATGTTTCACAAAGTCACAGCCTCTTGCTGCTTGCATTACTGTCCCTACAAAATTCTCTCTTGGAATATGACAAATATTTTTCTGTTTTACATCATGGATTCCCTTAATTGTAAGAGCTAGGACTATGCCTATTTCAAAGGATTTATCTAAGGCAGGTAAGCAGGTAGACCATAAAGTCTAAGGATGTGGCTAATACCAAAACCAAATGATAACAAAGATATGATAACACAACAGTTTGCATCATGTTATTCACCAGAATAGTCTAATGCAAATAAATTCAATCTCTGATAACAGATGACAGGAAGGACACTAAAGCTAAAGAAACTGAGGAAATAATAAAATTGTAGCAGATGATAAAGTAACAGCATCAACGACAGTAACTGCGCTAACAAAGTGATAACAATGACAAAGACATTAACATATATCATATTTTTAACTCATATGAGTGAAAACTTAAATTTGGTGAATAATGCTGAAAAATGTGAAGTGGGAACACCATGTTACCACCTATATTTTTCTAAAAATAATCAAAGCATAACATTTTTCTATAACCATATTATGATATGTAATGATATTTCTTACATTTTCACATGTACAGAATATCTTTCAAAATTCAAAATTTGACATAACTATATGATTTAACGAACTCCAAGATGTGAAAATGCAATCAAATGGTACTTTGACTATTAATTATCAAACCTGAATGTATTTTTCCATTTTGAGGGCAAAAGAAGAAAAAAAAAAAAATACAAATTTATCAATTTATGCATTAAACTCGGCAAAGCTTTCCATACAATCCCTCTTAGCAATACAGAAACAAAAAAGCAATACTAATAATAATATGAAATACAGGTTTCCTACCTTGAAGCAGCTAGGTTTCGTGAGCAATTGGGGCAGATGCATTCATGTTGCTTCTTGATAGGTGCCTGACCAAACACATCAAGGCCTTCAGCATTTACCTGTATAAGTTTTAATTTATTAGTCAT